ATAATGTATACAAAAACAGTGAAATAAATTGTTAAATTAGATCAAATGTTGGAAACCCTGTGGAAATAGTGTCAGCACTTTTCAAATAGACTGCAAAAACAGATCAATAATTCAAGTTTTTGCGATAAATTTTTCAAACAATCTTATTGTCAGTATTAATGCATTGATTTTTCACCATATTTCATCAATTAAGTCAACAATTAAATCATACAACCATTATTTTGTTTATTATTATTAATTGAATATAAAAATTATATTCAGTAATTATGCTTGTCCAAAAAAGCAATTTAGTTTTTTAATAATTATACATTTTTATTGTCTGAATTAAGTATCATGAGTTAAAATTACTGCCATTCTGTTAATCTGGGTTAAAAACAAGATTAAAAAGTGTTGTAAAAATGATGCATGATTTAAACGCATTTGATATAACTTTTAATTAATTTTGTACTAATTTATATACCGTACAAATCCTGCAAAGTACTTTGACGTCTATGTCAAGTTAGCCCTCCTCATGAGTCGCTAGAGACTACCGGTCCAAAGGGAGTGCATTCAAGTTCACCCGCCATTCAAGATACCATCCGAGGCCTGTCTTCACTCAATCAATCCGGGCGTCAGTTACGATGTGGTCATCACCAAAACCAAAGCCATACTACAGCCGCCGCCCTATCAGACCGACTGCTACTGGATAGTGTAGTGGGCACTCCCGCTGAGTTACAGGGCTAGCCTAACGTATCTGTTCACATACGAATCCTATATGCTCTCATTTACGTTTACAAACGGTTATGTATAGTGGTAAACCTCCGTATTATTCGCTAATCTCAATCTGTCGATATGTAATTACGACGACTTTGACTCCATATCCGAGTGCTTACAGCAGGAGCTCAGCAATAATTGCTACGATAAGTGCCGACCCGATTGTATTGACAGGTATTGTATTGACCACTACTCAATCCTTTGATGTTGTCGTAAGCTTTTTTTGTCAATTGGTCTGTATGTAAGTCATGTATGCACTTATCTGTGGAGCACTTTTTTCCTGGTGTGCGATTAATGTATTATTTGGTTTGATAGCAAAAATAGTTGTGTATTTATAACATGTATTGTATGTGTGAGACATTGGAAATATACTTGGTAAACATTATTATATCATATAGTTTTTCTCGGCAATAAAAAGTTATGTTTACAACAGATAAATTGCTGATTAAGGAAAAGTTAGCAATTACTAAAGTTATAATCCAGTGTTTTTGTTTAAGTTATGAGATAAACGACACATAAAGTATATTTACACATATATAAATATGCAAAACATATTCATGTATTAAAGATACAGAATAAAAAAAGTTTACTTATACAACAACTCAATATACAGTACATGTATATTAAATACAAAATATAAAGAAACAGAATTATAATATTATGAGAAAATATAAGAAAAACTACTATTCATTACAATTCATATCCAGTAAAAGTATAGGAATATTATTATTATTGAATTATTGCGATTCACGAGTCTTTCATTGATTAGAAATTAATATGTCATCAAATTATTGAATAATTGTTCAGAAAAGAGGCCACATTTTGGGCCATCGTTTGCAAACATAATCACAGCATATATTTTATTTTTGTTTAAATTATAATATCAATTAATATACATGTATGCAAATATATTGAAAACTATCACCGCTTTTTAAAATCATTACCCAATTAAATGCATATCGGATTAAAACCCATATTTAAAAATTATGTTCACATTATGTATACAAATAATAAGGTTTGCATATTATGTTAGTATACGATAACACAGTATTTATATTATTATTATGATGTGAGCGACAATCGTATGAATAATTGATTTAAAAATACTGAATAATAAATGAATGCATTAATTGTATTGTATATGTGTTTCGCAGACACTATCACATTGAGGTCGAGAACAGAGCGTATCCATCGGATCAGCAAATAAGCCGTGCCATCAGTTCAGACCAGGAAAGGCTATTGAATATGCGCCAAAACGCGGCCACAATCAACATCTGGAGCAATTATCTTAGCGATGTGACCTATGTACACACGCCGGCAATGTCCCTGATACAATTGGTGTGCTACCTTGGTGGTTTGGCTGGCCTATGGCTGGGCGTGTCGGTGATGACAGTGTCCGGATGGTTGGCTCAGTTGTATCCGTTGTTTCAGAAATGGAAAGGCAAACAAAGCCATATATTTCTTCACTGCAAACGACACCTTCCCGTCGGCAATACGACCCGAATATCTCCCGACGATCTCCTCCTCAATCCCGAGCACATCGCGAGGGATCACTTCATGCATCGGCCGTCTGTCTGCAGTCTCAGTCAATTTAATCCCAGATTTTGACCACTCCTTCGGGATTAGAGATATGACAATGGATTTAGTGTTTTTGATCATTACTTTTAGCGAAAGGATTTGTATTTAATTGTACGTTAATTAATGCATTGTTGTGTCCGTCAAATGTAATGCAAACTAATCTTTTAATTTGTTTGTTTCGCTTCTCTCTATCATAATAGCCATAGATTTGTATTTTTGGGAAACAAATACCGTTTTTTATACTGAAATTTCGTGTCGACGACGAAATGCTTTGGAAAAGTATTGAATGAAATTGTTTTACAAAAACAAATCCAACTAACATTTGATGAGAATTTGATGTTTGGTTTGGGAATCAAGAATATTCTTTGATGTGAACAATGCTAACAATAATAATAATAATTTATATTTATTATGAATAATAATTATATTTATGATATATCATTAGGAATTACAGGAAAATCAAAATAATTACTAGAAATGCACTGAAAATCAATAATATAAATGTATAAAATGAACACAACTGTGAGCGTAGAGTTTGATTAATAGTAAAAACACTGAAAAAATACAAAAATATATTTTTTAGCATTAATTCTATAAATATTTACGGAATTTATAACTAGTTTTATTAAATACAGCAAAGATTTATTTAAAAATATTGTCGGAAAACTGTGAAAACTTTTACTATTATATCAATAATAATAGATTCTTAAAGAATATGTAATTAATTGATAAAACAATTTGTTTCAAAAACAAAACTTTTATAGTTTTAATAGAGGATTAAGAATTAAATGTTAAATTGTATTTAAATTAATTGTTGACTAATTATTCTTATGTATAAAATCACAGACTATATTATAATACAAATAATTAATTGTTAAAACACTAAACCCTATAGAAAATACACGTTTAGATCATAAGTCTGTTGAATGAAAATTACTTACAAAACAAAATATTTCGTCTTAAGAGTGAGAGAGAGAAAAGTTTAGACGAGATTTTTTTTGTTTAGTTTATGTAATGAATTAAATATTAATTGATTACAAACCCAGTTATTAGAGCTTTAGCTGTGATATAATATTTGGTTATTTAAATTGAATGTTTATTCAAAGCAAAGACAAAACACACTCAACAAAAAACAATGACTACATTAACGTTATAATTGATGTTTAGTACATTATACGGTAGTAAATGTGCTAGTTATTTACACTTTAGCTCACTCACACCAATGTTATTTTGTTACTATAATTTGAAACACATTCAGATGAGAAACACATTTAAATTAAAGTGGTTTAAATGAGATAAACAATTATGTTTCAAAATATATTAACAAAAAATTATAACAATTTTTGTGATTTAAGTGTTTAGCAATAATTTATACAAAATTCTGCCTCTTTTTGTAAGTACTTTAAAAATTCTGTAAATTTAATAGAAATTAATTTAATAAATAATATGAAACTTAAATTACTAATGAATTTTGAAATTAATACTAAATTCATAGTTATTCTATAAACTAAATAATATAACATAACTATGTAAATTCAAGTCAAGCATACTTATGCTGCATACATTACATGCGACTATTACTCAATCTGTCCTTGGTCTATAATTGAATTCATTCAACCAAGCTATAAACACGTGTATAAGTACCAAACGTGGGTAATTTATTTTAAAAAGCATGCAAATAACGCTAATTTATATACAGATACACAAACTTTTACTATAACAGGTCACTAAACGAGAACAGTTCAGTAACTGATATCTAAATTATTTCATAATTGACATGAATTAGGGGTATGTTTGTCAACAAAACAAAGCCAGACATATAATCTTTATTTACATATTAAATATTAATGCAATGAGTATTGAATGGATTCGTGAATTCGTTGAATGAATAATTGACGAGAATTTATACAATAATGAAATACATTTACATTGTATTAATGAATACGTCTAACAAATGGTGGGTTTGAGTGAATAGAGAGGACACCAAAAGCGTCGTTCAATTCACGAATATTCTTATATTCTCTACACTTTGTGTTAGGCTTTTATAACAAGTGTTTGTATTTTGAATAAGTACTTAAAATGTGTAACTTTTTTGCAAGTAAAATATTAAGTTAATTACATTATCTGAATTTAAAGAAATTATAATATAATGGAAACATCATTATAGTATACAAATGAAATAATTGTTGATATGGCATTTTTGCTTCAAATCAAACATTTAGAAAAATCAATTAAATTACTTCTTACCAAAAGCCATACAAAAAATGTAATTAATAATTAGTTTTATCAAATTGTAATTTGTTATAATGTAGTTAATGATTATGAAACATGATCAATAGATGGCGAGTTGGATCCAAATTGAATTATCAAAACTTATTTAAAATTATGGATTTGAATTTGACTAAATTGCTAGGAGACCAGCACTACTTCAAATGTAAATTGACCAATCTAAACTAAACTTATAATTGATAAGTAACACACATTGACATTATCAAATTAATAAGAAAATCAGTGAACTCATTTGCTATTAATTAACGTTATATCATATTATGATGAACTTTTCAATTATAAGTTTCAATGTATGAAAGATTTAGTAATCTATAGGTATTTCTAAATATAATTTCCACTTAACATTCTTTGACAAAATAAAGCAAATATTATTATTAAGGTTTGAAATCTGTTTATTTGAAACTAATGTAAATCTAATGAAATGTCTGTTTAAATCTAATTAAACCGTACCTAAAGGTAGACTTATTTTTTGTTTGTTTGTTTAATTAGATTACAATTCATTGTTTGTTAGACACAAAATTCTGTATAAATTTTGCAGATAAATATTTTAAAAATATAATTTTGCTGTTTTCTGAAGAATTTACATTTGAATTATCATTAATAAAAGAGATGCAAAATATAAAATAAAATGTTGCAATGAATAGAAAATCTTTTTACCATAATCATCATCATAAATATATTCAAAGAATATAATTAAGAATCTTGAAGGACACTTGCTCAAAAGAAATAATCTCGAAAAATAAACAAAACTAAAAATAAATAATATAAAAAATATATTTTTACCTAATTTGTTTTAAAATCTACTTGAATTAATTTAATTGGAAATTATATTTAACATATTTAAAGCAATTTAGTCAAATTAAATCTAGTCTCTTTGAACAATAATGTACACATAATATGTAGGCTACAACTGCCCACACCAACTGATAAATAATTTAAGAAACAATTCAAATACAAATGAATGTTTTATAAATGGTTTTTAATTTAATTTTTTTTTGGTTTAGAGTCCTTACAGTCGACAAAACGCAACACATTATGTCTTTATTATTAATGGTTTTGCCATTTCGTAACACTTTTGTGTATTTGTTTGCCTAAAATTAGTAGTACTTTAAGTACTGAAATAATAAATTATTAGTTTTATTTTAATTCACTATTCATTCATCCAGTGTTTGTATTAAACAAACTGTGTGTCAGCCCTAACACTGGCTAATTGACAGACAGAATATTCTGTTCCCAAACAATGTGACAAACAATTAGAAAATAATTGCTGCAAATTCTTAATCCATCGAATAATTTGCATTTTTTCTCAAATGTAACTTAATTTATGTTATTTGACATTTGATCATTTAACAAATAATTATTATAGTATCTAATAGATAGAATAATAAATATATTTTTGTTTTTTAAAATGTATATAATTTTATTGATGTATATAAAATTGCAATGAATAAAAATTAAGCTAGCTTATCTTAAGTTTTTGTTACAGCTTTTGTACAATTGTCGTAATTTATAATTATAGCTATTTATAAGTGTGCCATCGACTGGAAATGTGATGTTTTAAATTTGAAATACTGGACAAACGTATCCAATAATAAGACGGCATTTGCCGTAAATAATAACAAATTGCAATTACCGTAAAGAAAGCTAACATCACATAAAAGCGTCAATTAATTGTATCCGCAAAACAATTTATAGCCACCTTTCAAAACGTGGGGCTTATCTGGCAATTGGTTTCGCCAGTAATTGACACTTCAATTCAATTCAATACTATTAT